TTCCATATTCCACGTCACGAATAAGAGTATGTCAGTCTCATGGGCTCTAGCATTCCAGAGACGTCCAAAGGCTATGTGTCAGTGGTTGGTTTAAAACATGTAAAATGTGTTTTTCCTTTAAAGTAAGCTTCTTTTTTTTAAATTGTGCTGGGGAATGGATTCGGGCTATTTGTTTTGTTTTATTAGCTTTCTAGATATGAGATTCTGTCTATGTGACAGGATATTCCACATGCCCAGTGGGAATGTTCATTACGTGGCAGGAGGCTTTCTGTCTTGGCTTCCAGAGGTTGTAAAAGCCTCTCCTGCAGGTGTGTACCTCCATTCATGACATAGGTTTTACTTTGTGGACTATACTATGGTTTAAAATTTCATAAGAACAGTTAACTTCTGTAGATTGAAATACATGCTAGGAAAAGATCCATTAAACGTGAAGGTTTTTTATGAATATGGCATAGCATGTCCTGATAATTCCAGTATTTGGGTAACTGAGATAGGATTATGAGTTTGAGTCTAGCCTGGGTTACATAGATAGACCTTGTCTCAAAAAAAAAAAAAAAAGTTTGCAATGCCCTGCTTTGGGGAGCAGGAAGCAGAGTAGCTACTGTGTGGGTGGGTCCATTCTAAGGTGTTTCCAAGGCATTAATTTTCCTGGTGTGTACATTCATTCAGAGAGCCTCGCCTGGTACAATATAAATCACACACAATAATACAGATCATAATTTTAACAGCTATTGTCCATTAAGGCCTGGGAATAGTACTGGGCAGTAGATCTGCTTTTAATCACACACACTTTAGTTTTCATGCCCTCTGCATGTACTTGCATAGTAAAGGAAGTCAGCACACACAAGCATGCCCTCTCATTCAGCTGTGTGCTGTTGTCCAGACTGGCTTGGAAGCCATCCAGTTAAACCAGATCCTCAGGAAGGTGGAAGTGCTCTTGTTGAGGCGTGTTTGTCCTTCAGCTGTCTGCCAAGGATGGGGCTGGGCTGCTGTGGACAGCAGGGCCTTCCTCACCACTTAGCAAGTGCGAATTGCTGTGGTTCACAGATGAAATGATTGTGTGTGGAGGTACATACTAACCAACTGCCCTCTAAGTGACAGAAACCTGCACACAGGCACACAAACACACACACATACACCCTTACACACTCGAGCATGTATACACACACACACACATACACGCACACACACACACACATGCACGCACGCACACACACTGTCTCTCTGGTCTTAGTTTATATGTTGAGACTATTCCTGTTAAATAGAACAGGAAACTGCTCTCACAGAGTTCACCTTCCACTTCGGGGGGGAAACATAGTTTAGGCAGTCAGTGTTTGTAGTGGTTCATGAACTTGGACCTGGAGGTGTAGAGCATAACTCCTTTGCCTCTGACTCTGGTCCCCCAAAAGATGTGTTTCTTCCTTTGAGAGTGTGTATTGGGTTTTTGATGGTGTAGTGATGGGCAATGCTACAAGCCACTCTCTAGTCTTGGAGGTCTGTCCCAGTTCCCTGGTTTGGACAAGGTGACTTCTGGCCATCTGGAAATCTTGCAGACCTACTGATCTGTCTGGTGGGTCTGTCCATCTGTGTTCAGATGTGGAACTGAATGCACAGGGAATTTTTCTGGTAGTGGTGGTGTTGGCCCTGCTGATCTTTCCTAGTGGCTCAGCGGAGTACTCTGTGTGGAGTCCTCCCTCAGACACCATCTCCTTTCTTCACAGTTACTGTATACCCCATTTTCCCTGCACAGCTTGACACTCATCTGTCAGGAAGGATAGCCAATGACTTTTCATTTCCTTGGGGAGCTGAGCAAAGAGAAATGTTCTATTTTTTTGATTTATTTATTTTTATTTTGTTTCTTGACACAATGTAACCCAGGCTAGCCTGGCTCTCATTAAGTAACCCAGACAGACTTGAACTCACAACTGTCCTCTTGTCTTGCCTTCTGAGGATGGAATTACAAATGTAAGTCTTCCAATCCAGGTTGAAACAACTTTAAACATGACCAACTGTCCTTGGAATTGCTTCTCACCAAGACAGGCAACATGACAAATGACGAAGCTTACAAGACCTGGGAGCTGGGCGAGTGGCAGGTGCTCCTGTGAGGGAGGCAAACATGATGGGTAGTGTCTGCCTGCCTGAGCTGGGCATGCAGACTTGCCTCCTTCACCCCGAGATAATACTGACAAACAGAACTGGCATACTCTACTAGCTCTGAGAACAGTGTAGTCCAATACTGCTTTCCCAGTGCAACACATAAATGGGGTCAAAGGAAGGGACTTAGGCCAGGATATCTGGTTCTAGAGCCTAAAGGGCCAGCTCTGACAACCATTAAGAGACACATCCTTCCTCTAGCTGTGCTGGCCTGCTCACAGGGCTTTCTACCCATTAGGCCTTAGCACAATGGTTCTCAACCTTCCTAATCCTGTGACCCTTTAACACAGTCCCTCATGTTGTAACAACCCCCCAACCATAAAATTATTTTTGTTGCTACTGTAATTTTGCTACTGCTATGAATGGTAATGTAAATATCTGTGTTTTCCTATGGTCTTAGACAACCCCTGTGAAAGGTCATTTGATTCCCAAAGGGGTGGTCACACACAGGTTGAGAACCATTGCCTCAGCAGTTCTGCCTTTTATATCTGAGATCCCTTGGAAATTCACATGACCTCCAGAATGGTGGCAGTCACATGGATTGTAACCAGATGGACAGGTATAGCTCAGGTCTAGCTCCATGTTGACTTGGGCACATAGGGGGTCATGTGTTCCCAGTGGAAGGGAAGGAGGGCTCAACTAGAGGCATTGAATTGGGGCTCCCCAGCAGGACCCAGTGTGAAGGATTCTCCAAGGGATCCTTCTGGGACATTTTTTGGAGGGTTGCTGTGCACTAGGTGTTACTTATGGGGAAAGGCAGCAGATGAAGCTTAAATGAGGGTGGATATAGCTGTGAACATTGAGATTCCATGGCAAAGGCATCTGGGGCTGTTTTGTTGTTGATAGCATAATCTTATACTGTTTCCCTTGGAAGGTCTATCTTTGGGCAGTTCTCACATCTGTGCCATATCCTGAGTGGCAGCATACCTTGGCATGTTGGAGCATGTCTCTGAAGCTCAAAGGGCACAGTCCTATCTGTGGAACACTTTAGTTCTCCCATCAGGGTCATTGGGAGGGATAGGGAATTAGGATGACACCAGAAACCCAGACACAAAGGAGCCAGTGTGCTGGCTTGGACAGCACCCTTTCTATGTGCTGTGCCCTCTGCCCCTGGCTTTGTGCAAAATTCTACATAGCTCCTGCTATTATGTCCAGCAGTACTGCCTGCAGTGCTTATTGTATTATGCATTATTACATCCACACATGGAATGATTATTAAAATATAGTGCCAACAAGTGAAGGCACATATTCTCATTGGATTACTTAGGTTTCCTTTTTGTTTTTAGCTCATGCCCAAATATCTGGCAAGAATCAACTTAAGGGAGTAAAGGTTTATTTTGTCCCACTTGGGGAGCGGGGCATGATGGCAGGAACAGCTCTAGCTGTCAATCCTCACCACCTCATATTTCAGTGGAACCGGAAGCAAAAGGCAGGGAATCCTGGCTCATCTGGCTTTTTAACTGTTTGCATTCTTATTCAGAGCAGGACCCTAACCCATGGGATACCATGGCCCATAATCAGAGTGACTCTTCCAACCTCAGTTACAGCCATCTGGAGAATCCCTCACTGACACTCCATAGATGTGTTGTTGGGGCAATATGCACCAGTCCATACTCCCTCCAGTACATGGAATTCCTCCTAGTCTCTCCCAAAGGGAGAAGCTCCAAGTGGAATTTGAGAATGCCCTGATTGAGCTACCTACATGTGTCCCACAGGGAGACCAGGGGCAGAAGGGCTTGTGTTATTTCTGATTCTTCCTGCCCTCTGCCCACCTCCCCGGTCTCTCATTAAACTATTGACCTTGGGAATGTTCACTGTGTGTGTTTGAGAACAGAATGTATTTCTGAATGTGTAGAGGAGCCCTTCCCTAGCTATATGTGATTTCTTTTTCCTTCCATAAAAAACCCCGGTACATTAATGCAAAACATGCTTTTATGTATCATTAATGTCGTAAATCCTAAAACGTACAATCCTGAAAACCAGCTACATCTATTTCCTGTTGCAGGGATCTGCTGCTTGCCTGTTTTTCATCTTAAAGGGGGCAATGATGGCTGAGCTGATGTCAGAAGAAGGGGCTGTAAACAGCCAGGTCATTTTGGAAGTGGGTGCTGCCAGGATTCAGTTCATTTTCCAAACTGGAAGAGACAATTAGGAATTGCATTTTGCCATCAACCTGAGCCCATGTTGCTCTTCTGTTTATGTTCTGAATATTCTGGCTATGTTCTTAACTAAACCACAAATGAAAGTACAAACCTTCTTTGTCCTGGTCCTCAACTCCCAAGTTTCTGCTTACAGTACTATTTCTCTGCCCCTGATTTCTATCTTTTCATTCCTCCCTCTTCAGTCTACTCCAGGGGCTTGTCTGGGAAGGAAGGGCTGTACACCACTGTCCCATCTCGATGCTCGGCTCTTTTACTTAAGAAAGGGGATCCTGTCTGCTTGTTCTAGGAAATGACTGGAAGTCTACAATTAGAATATTTTTTTGTTGGAGGAAGTACTCCTTTTACTGTTGCAAATCAATGGACTGAAAGGAAGAGACACTAGTAGATAAGCCATGCAACTGCAGCAGGGTATGTTCAACTGTGAGGGATGTGTGTTTATGTACGATATGCATGTTTTGACTTGTGTGTTTACAAAGAGACCTGCAAATACATGCAGGTACCCATCTATGAATGACTGACAGCATTGGAAATGGCTTCCTGGTGGTCAAGCCATTAGGCTCTGCAGCTTTCAGTTTCCATTCTGCACCTTGTGAATTAGATACTTGAAAGGACACATGGGATTCCTGCAGACCCGAGGGACTCCTTGGTGCCTCCTACTGACTGACAATTCTGCGTTCTATTCAGACTGCCGAGAGATCCTGCTCCCCATGATGACAGACCAGCTCAAGTACCACTTGGAGAGGCAGGAGGACCTGGAGGCATGCTGCCAGCTGCTCAGCAACATCCTGGAGGTGCTCTACAGGAAGGATGTGGTGAGTCATGGGGATCAGACCACTGGCAGCCTCACGCGCCTTGCCCAAGCCTTGGAAACATGCTACAACCAGAACCGCCTTGTTGAAAGAGCAGTGGCCTTCATTTTCAGCCTTTCTTTCTGTAGAGTTTTACCCTTGAATTATTTTTATTTATGTGTGTGTCATGATTTTTACATTGCAGCATTCAACCCATCTGAATTGAAATTAAGTTTTTGTTTTCCTGGCAAGATGTTTTTCAAAGCCATAGTGCTCATCCTTCAGGTCACATAAAGACTGTGGGGGCTGATTACCCATCCCCCTTTTTGTAGTTCTTGCATCTGTGAAGTGATATGTGAACCAAGCCACCTGTGCTTCCAGCAGCTCTCTGCTCTGCTCTTCACAGGTTGAAGCTTCCAGAGATTTCTGAGCTTTGCAGATCTCTCTTGCATTTCTAAATCCTGTCCCCCCCCCCAGTGGCTTTTATTTTTCTAATCTGAATCTGGGTTAGGCAGGTATGTGAATATCTTACCCCCACTCCAATCATCAACAAGCACATCATGTATGTTTGTGCACATGTATACACTTAGGTGGTGTCACTGATTCTCCAGGTGTGCCTGGGATCAGGATAGAAAGACTTCTGTATGTTGGCAGTAAATGGAGACTGAACCCCCTGGGCATGACTGGGAGTGGGCTCTGGTGTCCTAGGGCACCCTGGCCTGTCTCTGTCCCCAATTCTAGTCAGGATTTTAAGTACATTGAGTTTGTTCTGAACTCTTTCCTGAATTACCTGAACACCTTCCTGGTCAACACACACACACACACACACACACACACACACACACACACACCACACACACACTTCTGTTCATTCCTTTCAGCAGTAAATCTTTCACCCTGAGTTAGCTACTTCTTGAATTCGTTCATTCCTTCCTTTCAGCAGTAAATCTTTCACCCTGAGTTAGCTACTTCTTGAATTCACTAAATACACTTTGGGGGTGGGAGTGCAGGAAGGCTGGGCCAGGTTCTGACTATAGCTATAGCAGGCTGCTTATATCCAGCTGGGCAAATCAGAAAAACAGAGCAAGGGGAATGTTGGTGTTCATTTGACTTTATTCTTTCCCCACTTCTTATTCAGCCTAGGGCTCCACCCATAGTCAAAGTGGGTCTAACCCTCTCAGATAATCCTATGTGGAAACACCCATAGTCCAAGCTTTACCTTCCTTACTGATGATGCCCTAGGTATTTCTTATTCTGGTGGAGGTGACAATGACAACTGACTATCCCATTCCCAATGGTTTGTGCTCCCAGGGTCAGATATGTCAACTCCTGGATGATGGGATGGCTCCAACTCATTAGGAACTGAGGCTTCCCAGAGTTTGGATGTCTTTCTCAGGACTAGCCTCCTGCCCTGCTAGGCACATTGCATTTCTCGGAGAAAAGTCCAGCACAGAGCTTGTAGGGCAACCTCAACGAAGTTCTTATGATTATGCAGTGACCAGATGCCTGCCTACTCAAGCTATGTACATGGAAGAGAATCTGCGATCCTGCTTCACGTTAAACCAGGGAATAAATTCTCCCTAATGGAAAACCCCATGGCACTGTGAATTTTAGATAATTTGCTGCACTGGTACTAAAACATTCTATTCTGTGAGCAGTTAAGTTATCGGGATGTGACACGCAGAGCAGTCAATGCTGTTATCTGCCTGCCTTCCGTTTACAGATGGCCAAGCATCTCTGGAAGACTAATTGGCGGTCTCACCAAGGATCATAAACATTATATTGTTTAAATGGAGTTGCTTTTAGTTTTAAGGTTTGGTTAAATTAATTTACTATGATTATATAACAAATTGTCATTAATGGGCTATAATTAATAAAAGGCCTCGAGTTTTCTTCAGGAAGACATTTGCCTTTGACAAAGACCATTCTTCATCTCGTTAAGGGTTATAATTGATTGACTCCATACAGAACAGCTGTGTTCGGAGACAAGTGCTTGGGCTTCTGAGACCTTGATGATCTGTGCTGTTGGCTTTTATTGGTATCTCTTTCCTCCAGGGGCCGACTCAGAGGCATGTCCAGATCATCATGGAGAAACTTCTCAGGACGGTGAACCGGACAGTCATTTCCATGGGGCGGGATTCAGAACTCATCGTAAGTGCCCAGGGACACATGCTTGCTTACATGAGGTCATGTCTTCCTAAGAAAGCTATTTCCCCAGACACCTGTCCCAGCTCTCCTCTCCTAGTTGCCACTGGGACATGAACTTACTTTCTTAAAAGGTAGCATGCAGTTGAGACACAGTCTGTTCTGATTTTCCATAATTCTAAAAGTGTCTGTCAAAGGGGAAGAGGACATTAACCACCATGTCAGAGAATGGGATGCTTGCAACTGACTTTCTTATTATTACTTTTTGTCAAAGGTGCATATTTTCTTCTAAGTCTTCACACTCCTGGTAGTTTCTTTCTTTGTATTTATTGTGTTGAAGGTACTTTTGATAACATTTTATGAAATACCTTAAAAAGTAATTGAGGAAATCCAGCTTAGCAATTTGTTATCTACTAGATGTATACAATGGATCATTACTTGTGGAAGATGATTTATTTCAAGAAGGTTTTATCAAATTTCAATGGCCATTGTAAGTTGGTGTCATGGCAACTTGTGTGCAGAATTTGTCATCCCCATTCCCCAAAATGGTTAAATTTGGTTATTTAGGCATGAGAACCCTACATGTGTTCTGTTTATTGTTTTAGTATATCAAGTGCTCATCCTTATTTAGCTACTTTGCTTTATGGCCTCTCAGGAGGGAAAACAAAATGACTTCCTTAATTGAAGAAACAAGCTTTTGTAGCCTTTTTACCTGCAACCAGGAAAGGCACATTTGTCTTCATCTGTATGTGACCTTGATCCCTTCCATATATCCAGGGAATGAACAAATGAGAAGCTAGGGGTTCACAGCCATCCTAGCCCAGTCCCTGTGAAGTGTTTTGAAAGAAAATAGCCCCTGAAGGCATTGGCACTATTTGAAAGTGTGGCCTTGTTGAAGTAGGTGTGGGATTGTTGGAGGAAGTCTGTCACTGTAGGGGTGGGTTTTGAGGTCTCAATTGCTCAAGCTTCCCTTAGTGTGACACTGAGACCACTTCCTATTGCCTTCTGATCAAGATGTATCCAGCACCATGTCTGCCTGCAAACTGCCATGTTCCCCACCATGATGACAATAGACTAACCTCTGAACTATAAGCCACCACCTCAATTAAATGTTTTCCTTTATAAGAATTGCCATGGTCATGGTGTCTCTTCACAACAATAGAAATCATAACTAAGAGCCCCTGTGTCCCTATTTACTGGCTTCACAACACAGGGTATTATGTGGGTGAAGTATGCAGGTAGCTCAAAAGGAGCAACTGTGTATGTCTTCTCCCTGACTTCCTGGCCATGTTCAGATTTTCTTTGAATAAGCCTGTATAGTTTAAATTTGGGCTGTCACAGGTATAAATAAAGAAATAACAGGCTTTCATATGAATTGACTATCATTTAAGTTGGCTTTTCCAGTATGGCACTCTTCATGTGTTCCCATTTTGACTTTCTCAGGAACTGGAACCATCTCTGTATGTTCCAGTCATTGGAGACTAAACCCATGAACAAGACTGGAGGCAGGCTCCAGTGTACCTGGGGTTCTCTGCATTCAGGCTCTGGTGTACTTTATACATGCTCACATGGAAACTAGGAAAGGGGCTCCAGATAAAATGAATGGAGTGTGACCTGAAGCTGAAGCAAGCATCATGATAATGGCCCTTCTTAGAGAAGGTTGGCTTGAAGACTTTCAGATGCTGCTGAGTCTTCAGCATCCATATGTGATCCTCCTGGCAGGTGGTATGGATACAAGGTTTCTGATAAACTAGCCTTGCCTCTGTCTCAGATGGGGGGACAGTATTCTATTGGGGAGGGGGCCAGTTTTTACTCTGGTTAGCGAGACAGTACTTTGTCTGGTTAAGGGAACAAAGGCTCTGTTTGTGTTTTGGGAATATGATCCTACCTTTAGTTGGCGATGCATTCTTCCCTTTCTCCCTCTGGCTAGTAGGACATTAACCGAGCTACATCCCTGTGGCTAAGGACTCTGTCTTAGATCTGTAGTCTTTTGGCTCATAGTCCCGGACCAGCAGTTAAACCTGGGAAAGGCAGCAGAGAGGAAGCTTATAAAAGGTCACACAGGTACTGTTGGATGAGAGCGATTGTAAAGAGCACACAGAGCCTGACAAAGGGAAGAGTGCAGTGAGTGGAACACTCACAATGGGGTTCAAGAGTCTTTGGAATGTTTTCCTAGCTGAGTCCTAATGGCCACAGAAAGTTGTTGTTGACCACTTGAGCTGAGCATTAACTAATTTCTTAGAAGATTTCAGTTTATGGCCTACCCTACCCTACCACCACTGCCTAAACCACTACAGAATATTGGACCAGTACATCTGTGGTTCCTGGGTCTAGTGCCAGCTTGCCTCAGTGTTGGCTATGGGACCAAGGTGGAGTGCTGATGATGGCAGTGACCCACTTCAGCAGATATCAAAGAGTGATGAAAGCTCCCCTCTGGTTTCTTCCCTAGTCATGTAGGCAGCTGCCCAGGGAAATAAGCCCTCTTGTATCCTATCCCTACACAGTCTTCTGCAGTTAGAATCCAGATGCTGGGTTGATGCTGAGTTTCATGACAGGTTAGTGTCCAAGCTTGGAGTAGCTCTTGTGTTTTCAGGACCACTTAACAATTCCTTGAGATGAACCCTTGACTGTTCTTAAGGTGGGTATGAAGTAAGGACAGCCTCTCATCCTTACCCCTCTGTAGCCACATCTACAGGGAGCAGGTATCAGGGGTGGAAGGCATTGTCAGGGAGTGCCACATCCAGGACCACCTGCCATATCCCTGACCTTCACAGAATTCTCCAGAAGTCAAATGGGGATTGAAGTCTTAAGCCAACTTCTCCTAGTTCTGAACATCTCAGATAAAAAAGAATCAAAGACTCCTTTTGGGTTTGTTCTGCGAAACCAAGCTGTCATGGAAGAAGTCACAAAAAGAAACGTGAATGAGCTGTAATTATTTAATAAGTGATGACAATGTCAAGATATATCAAGTAGGATGTTGGTCGTTCAAGATTTGAATTGTTGAGAAGTGTCTATCAGTCATCTGCCATCCCGGAGTCCCCTCTCTGCTGTTTGCAGAGTAGTCGGACTACAGATCTTCCCCTGTGAGTGTGTGTCACCTTGGCATCCCTGCCTGCACCAGCTGGGGATGCATACATTAAGTTAATGCTGCCCTGTTGCTCTGTGAATTTAGATTAGTGGAGGATCTTCACAAAAGTGTCCCTGGCAAGGGGGACAAAAGCTTCATCAGTGGGTCCTCTAGGGTGAAAACAGAGCAGAAAATGGTTCACAGATCTGTCGTAGGTGAGCTGTACCATCTAATTGTGCCCCAGAGATTTCCATCTTCTTGGGTTACTCACTTTGCATAACTGTAGTGGAAATTGTATAACTGTGAATCAGCTGGAAAGTTATATGTGATTGCTCAAAATGGATTTTTTTTTTTAAAAAAATAGAACTTATTAAAAAAAATAACACTTCTGAGAGTTAGCAGTGGGAATGGGTCTGCTTTCTCCACGGGGTGAGGATTTCCTAGATATTTAGTCTCTACCTGGTTATATATTGAGTTAGGAGTGGACAAGCTCACACAGAAGTGGACAAGCTGTGTGAACAGTGTACAGTGTACAGCCTCTTTTTTTTTTTTTTTTTTTTTTTTTTGTTTTTTTGAGAGAGGGTTTCTTTTTGTTTTTTTGGGCCCTCGCTCTGGAGACCAGGCTGGCCTCAAACTCACAGACATGGGCCTGCCTCTGCCTCCCAAGTGCTGGGATTAAAGGCGTGCACCACCAACACCCGGCCAGTGTACAGCCTCTTTTATCCACATCTGCAGTGTTTTTATATAAGCTCTGCTTTGCACTCTGTCATGTGCCATTTGTTTAAGTTCATTGCATCTGAAATGTCCACAGGAATGCTTTTCATACACAGGAAAATGTTTCTTGATGCTAAATGTCATAATTAAGACATTTATAATGTCATAATCAGTAAATTAACTAATAAATTATCAACAAAGCCCCTTCTCTTGGCAGCTGTAGAATAGAGAGCAAGTAAATGCTGAGAACAGTCTATGCTGTAACCTTACCATTGAATTAAAGGGTCTCTGCTCCACTTACAAGTTCTTTAAGACAAACCCTGTGTGTTAAAGTGGGTATGGAGTATGGACCTGCCCTTGACCTTACACATCTGCAGCCATATCCACATGGAACGGGTAGCAGCGGTACCAGTCACCATTAGAGACTCTTGAATGAATAATTCAGTTTTGCATTAGGTCAGACTTTACAGTTTACTTTTCTCTTTCTCTTAGAAGCCTGTTGAGAGGAACATTACAGTGATCCTACCCGGGATGTGTGATACTATGCAGGGGCCATGTACACTGGTGGCCAGATCAGCCATTTGGTGTGACCTGGAGGTACACATGTGCATCTTTCACAGATGAGCCATGGCCAGAGAACGATGATTAACACGTAGCCATGTTCCTTCTTCTGCTGCGTTAGCTGTGTGCTTCTTTCAAATGTTTGGATTTACCTTCTAGTAATGAGTCCTTTAAGAATGTAATTGAGTGAGGACAATGGTTAAAGAGTTTTCTATGGCCTGGGTACACACCAGAAGACTGAAAATTACCAACTCTCTGAGGCTGAGATGTGAGTGCTTCCAAGGAAAGAGTCCCCTGGGAAGTTCACAGAGGCAGGCTTAGGGGTGGGGAAAGTCTTTCTGGATTGTTCACTGACTGTGACCTTGGGAGCCTCTACCTCAGCAATGGACACTATTGGATACTTGTTATAAGGACAGGGATGGCCCAGAGTGTTTGATAGGGGCAGTGGCAGTCTTGGTGTTAAGTTCACTAACATCCTAGGTCATTTATAAGGACTTGGGATGCTTCTACATTTTGAAAGGAAGGTGTTCATTATAATTATTACCTCAGGGAGGAGTGCCTTTTCGCTATGACTCAAAACAATTTTGTAACCAACTCTGCATGAGCTTTGGTGTTGAGATGTATATTTTCTTGGAGTTAAAGTATGAATATGTTTTTAAAAGTTCTTACTTCATACAGTGCATTATAGATGTTTCAAACGGAGGGAGCTTGACTTTTGAATACAACCATCACACCAGCTGTCCTTGGTGGCCTTCTGAAATTCACCCAAGTGTATGTATGTGTGTGAGCAATGACATTGTAAGTTCATTTATATTTGCTGTTAGCAGGGAGATCTTTCTTGCTTTTTTTTTTTTTTTTTGTATCCTAGGGTTTCTTGTTTTCCCCACCAAAGGTTGCTCCCTATCTGTAGGGCTTATAGCAGAGGGAATAAAAATCATGCCATTGCCTGGGTAAAATTGTTGAATGTTCATACCAGATTGTGGAGGTACCATAATTAAAAGGTGTTTAAAAGCTAATGAGTAGCTTTCACATGGCCTGTGACCTGCCCTCATGCAAGCCACCCATGATGGCTTGATTAGTTTTTTAATTCACAAGACTGAATGATATTTTTGATCTTTGTGTTGTATAGGTGCTTTCTTACAATAAACGAGTTGGCTCCACACTTATCTGAGGCCAAAGGTATGAAAGGTCATTTTTTTAAGAGATGAAAAATGTGGGCAAGGGAAGCTGTTGCTGTCTGTGGTCTTGAGCTAACATCACACCCATGAAACTGCCTCTATGGGTGGTAACTGAACCAGATAAAAAACAGTCCTCTAAAATCATCCTGCCAGTGTGTCGGGGCAGTTACACACTGGCCATGCTGCTACCAGATGATGTGATGGAAGTTCATGGCCCTTGGTTGATTTCAATTCTTGCCCCCTTCTGTGAAAGGCAACAAGGCAAACTCTTTCATCTGATGGCACCACTTCTCTCTCAGTGAGTGGTGGCCTGTGTGGGATGTGCCATGTCTATCATGGTCCGCAAGGACATTGATGTTGCCATGCATCTCCCTTGTTCTGCCTGTCTGCAGTTGAAAGGTTCTTTCAGCTGGTCTGGGACAATTGCTATGAAACCCTTGCACCTTATCTGCCTTACTCAGCTATGCAGTAGAGACTAGCAATCACGAGGGCTGCACAGCAGCATTGATTTTTCTGGACATTGGATCCCTCCCCTTCAAACTCTGATGGTCTTGTAGAATGGGTTCGCTGGTGTTTATATGAGAGATACTCTAAGGTGACCCTATCAGGTGACTAAGAACTGATTCTAGAATTTGTCTGAATACTCTTCCCACCTCTCTCTTCCTTCTGCCCACAGAACTTGCCTTCATCTCCTTCGTTTCCACAAGGCAAATGTGGGGACAGTGAGGTCTCTATCCACATCCGAAGTGACCTATATTTGTAGATGGGCCATCTTCTCCCATAGGGCATGCAGGCCATCTTTAGATACCTGGTGACATTGGGCTGAACTTAGCTGGTAAGGATGTACATCTGTGCTGTAGTGATTGTTTCCCACTCAGAGGAGAGAGGAAAAAGAGCTAGCCATGCTCCTTGGGCCAGAAACCTACTTGATGGATGCTCTAGAGCAATGGTTCTCACCCTTCCTAATGCTGTTACCCTTTAATTCAATTCCTCATACTGTGACTCCTGACCATAAAATTATTTTGTTGCTACTTCCTAACTGTAATCGTGCTACTGTTATGAATCGCAAAGTAAATATTTTTTGGAGATAAAGGTTTGCCAAAGGTGCCTCAACCCACCACCCAATCTAGGTCATGAAAGGTGGCAGCACTGGGTGAGTTTAGTAGTCTTGGAGGCTCTTTAAAAGTTAGACCCAAGTTAGGCACATGATACCATGAGCATGTATGTACCCTTCACACCTTAAAATGTTAACTTGTCTTAAGTGGCTAAACCCATGCCGGGGTGCTGGGTAAACTGCCAGAGTGAATGTAGGGAGCACCCAGGGCACATGACAGTCTCATCTTTCCAAACCCCACCAGAGTGCCTTCTAGACCAAATATCTGACCATTATTATTTTCTTGGATTTTCCCACAGTATAGAGGCTGTGAAATAAGTTTGGTAGCCACACAAACATTACCTTTGATTTTTTATTTAAAAATTAGTAAATATTTTAATGACAAGTATAATAATTTACTCTCTATACGTAATGCCATGTGTACATCTACATAGGAGGGGACACTGAACTTTTTACTTGGCTTTGTATGAAAGTTTTGACTTCAATCTTTCCAGGAGAAGGGTCATCCTCTGTCATTGGCAAATTGTGATTGGCTATGAAATGAGCTGAAAATACATTTTATTTCCTGTTTGGGGAGGTGCTTTTTCTTTTGAGAAAGAATTAGTTTATCTTCAGAGTTTCGTTTCTGGCTCTAAAATGTTTATTTTATTTTTAATTTGGGGACCTAGACTTGAAACAGTGACATCACAGGTAGTCACATGTATTTGCATTTAGACAGATGCGCAGCACTGGGCAGAAAGCTGCTGAACCTTTTCATTTGCTGAGAACATGGAATTCTTCAAACATATGAGGAGAAAACTGGTTGCCAACATTTTTATAACATCAGTTAAAAACAGTATAAAAACATGAAACTTGTTTAAAGGTTTAACAATTGCACTTCCTTCAAGGTATAGGATCAGCTTGGTCAGGGCTCTTCTCCAACACGTCTGTTTACTGCTCTTTTCGGATTTGAATTCTTATAGAGTACTTATATAATGGTATGTGTTTGTGTGCGTGCCTATGTGTGCACATGTGCCCTCATTTGTGGTGTGTGTATGTCTATGTGTGCATTTTGAATTAAGCAGATTTGAATTCTTATAGAGTAGTACTTCCTTAAAGGCATGTGTTTTGTGTGCATGCCTATGTGTGCCCTCATGTGTTGGGTGTGTGTGTGTGTGTGTGTGTGTGTGTGTGTGTGTGTGTGTGTGTGTGGTTGCATTTTGAATTAAGCATACCACTTTAGTATGGTTTGAGTAACCCCCAAAGAGTAGTCATACGACATATTTTTTTAGCTTCTTTTCTTTTAAAGACCAGATCTGATTGCTGAGCTCTAGATCCTTGTGTAACTCAAATGGTTAGAACTAAATGGAACTGTTGAGTCCAGAGGAAAAGCATAGTGAGCCTTAGCTCCTACTCATCCAAAGCAGGCCATGACCCTCTCCAAAAGTGAGCTGCTGTGGGTTTGCCATCAGAGCCACGAGGCTGCCGTCAGCATGCAATTCCAGCTGAACGTGCTGGACAGACACTGAAGACTAGGTTTTTCTTGTATGCTCACAGCTATTCAAAATTTTAAGTTATACAAAAAGGAAAAATAAATAAAAGTCAAAAGAAGACCCCCCCCCACTTCCTACATGAGAAGCAGAACACTGAGAGACATCATTAACTCACAAGAGGATTTTGTTTTCTATAAAAAAGATACTTGTAAAGGTGCAAAGAAATGAGTGAAAAATAAAGGAGTGGAAGTTTACGTTGTGATGTGTAATCAAGAGAGAACTCTTGTGTGTGATGGTGGATTTAAAAAATACCTAAAAACATTTGATTCACAGCTTTCCCCTAAGTATGCCATTTAATACAATTTACTGATAGGTTAGATGTAGGCGATGGTAGGTTTGGCCATTGGTAGCAGCTAAGGGAAACACACTGTTTCTCTCTGAGATGGTCAGATCTTGCACTGCAGTGACAGAGCATAAAGAACTGTAGAAAACACCTGGCTGCACTCAGGGATTGAAGAGTATCTCTAGGGATCGAGCCACAAAAAACACTTTCTGCCGCAGCCCAGGCACCGGTGATTTATAGGTAACTCTATTACCCATTGTGTACCTTTGCCTCTTTTCAAATTCTTGCCAGATTCATCATTTGGCCTTTGGGCACCCAAAGATTAAAAACAAGATCTAAGAAAGCTTAGTGTCCATTAGCTCTGACCCTGTCAGCTTGCAATGATTGAAGGCATATCCTGACTTTGGGTGGGGGTAAGGGTGGTTCCTGGCTGCTGGCCATTTGGAAAATGAGCAGTAAACATGTCGTCCATCTGGAGATGAAGAGGGTACTAAATCTGTGGTGTCACTGTGACACTGAGATGTGGTCACTTGGCTTAGCGCTACAGCACACGAAGGCAGATAGACATAGAGTCACATTTTCAAGATTATTCATGGTCTCCGACCACTTGAAAAAAATTGTGCTTTCTCCGGAATTTAATGTGCTGAAAACTGCACTCGCCCCCTGCTTATTTGCAAAACAAAAGGTAAAAATGAAGTCCTTTGCCAACAGAAGGCTTGCTTTCTCTTCTTGTTTTTTTAAAAAAAAGTAATAATAAAAGGCCAAAAATAATGAAAAGTTCCACTGTCTTCAGAAGAACAGCCTGCCACATGGAACGTTGATAACTCAATAATCGTTCATAGATGGGGAACTGCTGGGGGTTAAGAGTTTTTCCTTATCTTTGATTATGTAAGTTTTATTTCAGACTTTAAACCCCACACCAGTGAACTGCAAAGGACAGCTGGCAAGGGGTGACAGTGACTCCCTTGCCGCTAATTATCTGTTGGTGTGAAGGCCTTTTTGGTACACAGGGCGAGAAGCAGGGAGCAGGCATTGGCACCGCAGTTCCCTTGATCCTATCCATTTTGGAAAAGGACTGACTTAAATTCCAGTGGGTTTGAAAGATGGTCTGGTTACTCCCAAGCCCACGAGTCTTAAAGAAACCAGAGTTTCCACCTTCCGTGCTTTTTGGACTCAGTTTTGGATTTTTGCTTGGGCGTGGAGGAGTAAGTCTCCTGAGTGTAAGGCGAAGGGATGACCTGAGTTTCCTCGACAGGGTGCAGTTTCCTCAACACAGGCTGGAGTTTGTCTTCCTGTTGCTTAAAATCCAGCTCCACACTAGAAAGACAGAACACAGAGTTTAGTGTGTGACCCTAGAATCTGGTGACCCCCATCAGGGTTATGTTCATTGAGAGTCTATTTGTAACCTGTGTGCACCGTTTAATAATAAACATACATACTATTGAGCACTGTGATATATTCCAAATTCACTCATTTTCTTTGGTAAAGAACTGACTTTCACAGTCAAGTCTTTTAATTTCTAAAGTATGCCATTGTTTCACAGTATATATGGGGCTAGGGGGGTGGCTTGGTGAGTCAAGAGCTTGCCATGCAAGCATGAAGATGTGAGTTCATCCCTAAACTCACACTTAAGAGTCAGGTGTGGAAGTGTATGCCTGTAATTCTAGTTCCCAGGGGCAGAGTTCAGGCAGACCCCTGAGCTCATTGGCCAGCTAGCCTAGCAATCAATGAGCTCCAGGCTTGGAGAGAAACCCTGCCTCCAAAAATAAGGTGGAGATCTGCCAGAGGCTACTCTTAAAGACAGCTGACTCTCCCTCTCCCAGCAGCTATCATTTGCCTATAGCTCCTCAGGTTGGGGAAGGATTTCATACCCATCTCTGTTGTCCATGTTGGGATTTTATGTGGCTTAAGTTTATACAGGGCTTGTGCATGTTGTCTCAATGGCTGTGAGTTCATATGTGCAGCTGCCCTGTTGTGCACTGAGGACACATTTCCTTGTATTCTTCTACTGCCTCTGGCTCTTAGACTCTTTCTGTCCACTCTTCCTCAGTGACCCCTGAGCCTTGGGAAGAAGGCCATACATCCAAGAGTAAATGGGTGGCACAAATTGGTCTTAATGTGTAGGGGGACACAAAGTTGTGTTGGGGAAATGGACCAGGGAGGAGATAGGATACAGGGTGTATATGATAAAAACACATTATTCAGAATTCTCAAATTATGAATAATAATGAAATTTAAATAGAATGGAGAGCAATAGACGAAGATATGCGACTCCACTTCTGGCTTCCACATGCATGCACACACACACATGTGCACTTGGCCACAAGAACATGTACATATAGCTTACACAATGCATTTAAATCAAAGCCTATCAGAAGTCATGACACATACACACCCACGACACATAGTGCATCAAGCAGTGTGTCCTCCTATGCAGCCACCACTGGTCAGAGAAGCCTGTGGACTGAAAGCACCATGAATCAAATGACTTTGGCCTGCCTTGCAAAATTGTACTAGTTTCAAACTTCTTAAAGACCACAGCTAGGAGGAGACCCTGGGGAGGACTCTTGTGTTTATCACTTCAGCACTGCTAAAAAAGTCCTTATCAAGCACGGGTTTCCTGGAAGCAGCATACATCGTGTTTGGTTAAAACAATACAAGATTATAATTACACTGTGGGAGCAGCATTGTGCAAGGGTATTTGTGTTAGAAAGATAAGATTGGAGATGTGTTTCAGAATATACACTGCTCCTTGGGATGATTCTGTGAGGAATGCCATCTGTGTGCTTGAGTTGTTACTTATGTCTTTGGTAAGCAGCGATGGTCTGCTAGACTCTACTGCTAATGGATCCACTGGCCCACGTGGTTTGCTGTGATGATGTGGCACTGAGGAGCTTTTCTTCCCTCTCCCTGCTTTTTGGATCATGTAGTTTGGATTAGGGCTGTGGAGTCTTCTACCCTGTTCCCTTGTGCAGATGCCCGACTAAATGTTAGTCGATTTCAGTGACTGTTCATAGCGGTTTTCTCTCTAGCGGGGGGTGGGGGGAGCATGCACCATGTCTAAACACAGAATCCTATCCATTTAGAAAACCATTAATCCCAGCCAAATTCTGACATTTCAGGAACACAAACAGCAAAGCCATATTATCTGGAGTTTTAAAAATAAGTTCAAGACCACCAAATATACCAATTTATGATTTTTAAATCCCATACACCAATTTTCTTATTGTCAAAGGCTGTAATATCACTGAGGGTTCTTTTTTAATGTCAAGAGAAGTTTAAGGCTATTTTCCTCTTTCTTCCACACGAAGCCTTATACTCTTCTCCATTTATTTTTAGGAGGGGTGTGTGTGTGTGTGTGTGTGTGTGTGTGTGTGTGTGTGTGTGTGTACACAGAAGTGAAAGGAACAACTTTCAGGAGTGTGTTCAAATCCTCCTTGTTCCAGGAAGTAGAACTGAAACCCATGATGTCAAGTGTTGCTTCTCGAGAATGTATGGAGACAAGGCCCCTCCTAGGAGCAGCTGTGCAAAGGGCAGGCCTTAGGATCTTCTGAACCTGTGACGTTCCAGCTTATCTGGGCTGTGGAACCTGAGAAGTAGGAGATCCTGTCTTGGTGCAGGAGTCTGGAGCATGCCTGAGTTAATTCTCTCATTGTCACTGAGCTTCTATTTATGTCAGTTACAGAGAGGTAATTGCTGTCTTACCAAATTCTAGAAAGAACACATTCTCAAACACATAGGTCTATGAAAGGCCTCTTAGTTAGTGAACAGTTCAAATATGACTTTGTTCTTACTATTAAATGTCGACTGCCACTTTTACAGTTGGGTTTGGTGCTGATGATAAGAAGGGTTAGAGATTTTCAGCCTGAACATTTAGGCAACAAGAGCCTTCAGGAGTCTGTGAAATGTGACATTTAGCTAAGCTAATACTGAAACACATCCTTCATGTCAAGGATTGCAACTGTCCCAGGTAACGTTTTAGTTATTAGAACAGAGCATGTGGCTAACATCTCCTAGGCTAACATACAGTCCTGGGCACCTGTAATTATCGAATTCCCATTAAGCAGCTACACTGGGAATCCTGTCATTAACCAATTTATCACACCGCGGAACCATGTAATCACAGAGTAATCTAATCTGAGTTCTTGTTAACGAAATGACTCGACTTTATCTGTTGAGCAGACTCCTGTTTGTGCTCATCCAATATGCTGCAGCCCGGAGCAGGCTTGATAGAAGAGGGCCACCAAGCCTGGCCTCCGGGTTCAGTGACACAGTGACCAGGAGCCCTGCCTGTTCTCACTGCCTGCTTTGTCTTGTCCAAGTTGCAGTGTACTTGCCTGGGGGTGACATGTACTTGCCTGGGGGTGACATGTATGCATCGGCCACCCACACTCTGGATAGTGAAGTAACCATGCCTGTGAAGTAACAAAAATGTGTATTTTTGCTCCCCACTGTCTGTTAGCAGTTTCTTATTGTCAGAGTGCACACTGGGTTATTTGGGGTTGGAAGCAGATGACTGATTCTGTGGGGCAGAATTGCAAGCTAAGAATCTGGTTATCTCTGGCTGACTTAGAGCAAAGGTTTCTTTGGTCTTTTGTTTTTTTATCATTTTTTTAATTTGAATTAGAAACAAGATTGATTTACATGACAATCTCAGTTCCCTTCTCCCGGTTTCTTTGGTCTTAAAGGCCAAATGGTGTCTGCTAGAAGCAGAGGATCTGGATATTGCAGAGCTGTCCAGTTGTTCTATCTCCAATCCTTCCCCTCTGACGATAGCCAGTTGGCCACATAGAGGGTAGGAAGGCCTGCATGTAGGTTGATGGTGCTGTCACTATCTTCTCATTGCCTCCTTCATTGTGGCCATTCCTTTACCCGAATGGGGTGCTTTCTGTGGCTCATAGCATGGAATGCCACGCTTCATTTCCCTGCCCCATTCCCACCCCAGCTACACATAATTTCTGCAGTCTGACCACAAATCCTCACCTTCTGTCTCTGAGTTCCTTCTTTGCATGGCATTAAGTGTGGAGAATTCTGTATTTGCTTAGGTGTTGGGACCTGGCCAGGGTTTCTGGATAAGTGGGCTCTGGCATCAGATAATAGGCCACACCCTGTATTGAATGGGGAAAAAAAGATCCCTGGGCCCATATTATAGCTATTGCCCAGAGCGTGTTATTGAACCCCTCTGAAGCTTTCCTTTTCTTAACTGCACCTCTATTCTCTTTCCAGGCATACAAAACAATGCTTCCTATTAGGGATTCCCAGTGGGCAGAAGTCCTGTGTCTGCAAATATTACAACACCTTGGCCACACTCTTCTGTGGCTCCTGGTGATTCATGGTTAAAGGATACAAAGACATTTCATTTCTTTGGTTAATTCTTTTCTCTTAAATGTTACTCTTAATTATGAGTTATTATAAAATCATTTTAATATATTTCAGATATGTATATATATATATATGCAATGTATGTACACATTATTCTGAACATGTGTGTATGCAGATGTACACCCATATACATACACATACAGGCCTGAGATCAACCTACCATTTCTCGCAATGTATATATTATTCTGAACATGTGTGTATGCAGATGTACACCCATATACATACACATACAGGCCTGAGATCAACCTACCATTTCTCTTGAGCCATCTGCTTTGTTTTACCATCCATCCATCCATCCATCCATCCATCCATCCATCCATCCATCGCAGTCTCTCACTGACCTGGAACTTGCCAACTAAGGCTAGCCTGTTTGGCCTGTGAGTTGCAAGAATCTGTGTGTCTCCATCTCCCCAGTTCTGGGATTCTAAGTACTTGCAGGATGACTGTGTTTTTTATGTGTGTTCTGAGGCTGGGTTTGGGTCCCCATGTTTGCGAGGTAAGGACTTTATCAACTGAGCCATCTCTTCTGAATAGTCTATATATTTCTAAAGACGTAAAAGTTTGCCCTACCCTAAGACTCAGACTGCTCTCTCAGCCCACACCAAGCTCTGTTTTCTTCCTGGGCATGATACTAGGTTGCTTCCTAATGCTTCTCTAGCCATTTTATGGGATGTTGTAGTACAGGGTGACCCTGGAGCTTCTCTACTCACTCCTCATTTGAAGCCCCTGTCAACTGATGTCTGTTCCTCAGCTTAAATGAATGCCTCAGGTGCAATTTTCTCAGGATCTCACTCTACAGCGGGGAAGAGTTAAAGGCAGGTGAGTGTGCCCCCCTCAACCAACTGCTTGTTTTCTGAAGTGGAAGCCCCCACATTTTTTTCATCCTTCCTGCTTGCCAATGCCCTGTGGCTCAGTGAGTGTCAAATCTCTAGCCT